TGTTTTGAGTACTTAGAGTCTACTAAGCACTTGTAAAGCCCTTTACATATATTATTTTACCTATCCTGATACCATCATTAAAAGATAGCCCGGCTAGCATGGCTCAGTGGTTGAGCATCGACCTATGAACCAGGAGGTCATGGTTTGATCCCTGGTCAGGGCACATGTCCCAGTTGTAGCTCGATTCCCAGTAGGGGATGTGCAGGAGGCAGCCAATCAATGATTCTCTCTCATCATTGGTATTTCTATCTCTCTATCCCCCTCTCTGAAATCAATAAAAATATATTTTTAAAAAAGGTAGGATGGAGTAACAGTCCCATGTGTGAACTCCATAGAGGAGAGCCTGGGTTTGGATCTCATCTCGGCTGCTCAAGAACTATGTGACCTTCGGCAAGTCCCTTATTCTCCGTTTGTGTCAGTTCTATCACCCATAAAACTTGAGTATCCGTCATACCTTATCAGGTGATTGGGAGCATTAAATGGCTTAATATTCACAAAGCAGTGTCTGGTCCTTCGTAAGTACTTGTAATTATTATCATTATTTCTCCTTGACAGATAAGGAAATTGGGTCTTAGAGTGGTTAAGTGACTGGCCCAAAGTCCCCTGGCCAGATCAAATTGGCACCAGATCTAATTTGTCTCCTCTTAACCATTTTACACCCTGACTCCAAAACTGTTGGCTGGGCTGCAGGCAATGCACTTGGGTGCAAATAAGGAATCAGTATTAGCCTTGAGCAGTCAATGTTTGATTACCTTCATGGGTGAGAATTTCTCAACTATAGATTACCGTTGGGGGCGGGGTGGGGGGGGGACTTCTTCCAGCTTTACAGCTTGGTGAGTCCTCTGGAACAGTATCTACTTTCAATATGACTTTAGGTTAACTTCAAATAATGAGGGAGTTGTATTGCAAATCTTAGCGTGTATTTGTTGATCTATGGATTCTATTTATATTTATTCTTAGCCACCAATTCGTAATTCTTCCTATATAAAGTTCAACATAGCAGAAATATAGGTCAGTGTCTACCCAATTGCTACTATATTTAAAGTTTACTTCGATACCACATACCCCAGGGAGCTGCTTGCCTTGTTATTTTGCATGATCTCAGGATTCATAGGTCTCGGGCCTGCCTAGTGACACTTGAGACCAAAGTTGGGTGTAATCCCCCTACTGCCCACCAGGTGTCCCACCCAGACCTGCTATCTGACATGCAGTCAGGAAAAGGGCCTTCTTCACTCTTGGAAAGGGGAAAAAGGAGTAAAAGGGGGAGTGAAGGGGTTGAAGGGAAGGGGGAGGATGATTGTGACAACACTTTCAGATTCTGCTTCTTGCCTCCAGGCAAAGGGACTTTTTCAGAATTGTTTTTCTTTGATGCATAGGTGTCTTTCTCCAGAAAGCCTGGTCAGTTCCCTGCAATTTAGAAAGCTTTTATTTCCTCTAATAAGTGGTGTCTGGCAGGCCCTTTCATCACTGAGCTTGGGGTTGGGGCTGCTGTCTGCATCCCCTTCCTTTTGCCTGAAAGCCCCTGACAGCCTCCCAATCCTCTATGGGTTCTCCTTCCTCCAGCTTCTGATTGAAAAAGCCATATGGGCGTGGCTGGTGTGGCTCAGTGGTTGAGCATTGATCCATGCACCAAGAGGTCCCCAGTTCGATTCCCGGTTGGGGCACATGTCTCAATCCCCAGTAGGGGGCGTGCAGGAAACAGCTGATGGATGTTTGTCTCTCATCCCTGTTTCTATCTCTCCCTCTCCCTTCCTCTCTCTAAAAAAAATCAATAAACATATTTTTTAAAAAGAAAGACAAAGCCATATGGAAGGTGTGGAGCTAGCTGGCCCGTCTGATTCCTCAGCACCTCCTTAACTAGGGAGGTCAAGGACAGGAACCAGTGTGTGGTTGGGGCACTAACCAGCTGTCTTGGAAATAGTAAACTATTTCTCCTATGATAGTACTATTACTATGACAGAAATACTTCCTCCCCACCCTCCGTTAAGGTTGTCATTTGCTTCTCCTGGTGGGAAGAGGAAGGGAATTTGGATCCACTGACTTTTAAAACCTGGGGACATTTTAAATTCCAGAAGACATGTTATTCTTTGCAGGTGGTTGGCTCCTTGTCTGCCATCAGTCCTCCCTCCCCTCTTCCTTTCTGTTGAAGGACCTCCTGCAACTGGAAAAGCTGGGCTTGGGATCAGGGTGAGAGGGAACTCTGATTGAAAAAGCCATATGGGCGTGGCCGGGGTGGCTCATGTGGTTTCGCTCTTGGACATTGCGGTCTGCATTGGGGCTCCCTGCAGGCCCTTGTCCATCACTGTTGTCACCCCAACAGACCTTAGACATTGACCATAGACCTGAGGCTCCAGATGGAGGCAGTGCCCTGAGTGGCCTGGAAACCAGTGCCCTGACTGTCCATTGCCTGTGATTGCAGCTCCACCGGAGGCCCGTGGGGAATGTGGACTCCATGTCTTCATTCAGCACCGGTTTTAGAAGCTTCACTGTGGGCTGTTTCCCTAGTAAAGGACCTTGATCACAGAGACCAGAATACAGTCCTAGGAGCGTGTCTAGCTTCTGTACCCACAGCCTCATTATATTCATGGCTTTTAATATTCGGAGAGCCTTTTGCCAATACACATTTTCTCCTGAAGTGGGAACCCGGAGCCCAGACGCGATGTATTATTGATAGGGTTGTAATTCACTCCTCTGGGCTTGTATCTACAGTGTATACCATTAGCACAAAATATTAAATTACCAGCCGTTGTGTATGTTTGTCTATTCAGGTTTGGCTCAATGATATTTGCCTTTCGCCTCAATAAAAGATCATGCATAAAGGGAGCAGGGCGATCTTATTTGTTGTTGTTGTTGCAGGAGAATTTTGATGAAATCATTTTCTCGGTCCCGTGTTTTGGCGGGCCGTGCTTTGCCATAAAGATATGAGACATAAAACAGTGGGGGTTGGATGGGGAAGGGGGTTGGGGCCGTTTATTCCAGCGCTCGGCACACACCAGCTTCCCTGGCCGCCCGCTCTGGGCCGCACTCGGGGTTGTCTCCCTTTGCAACGGGGCGGGAGACAGTGGGCAGTGGGCAGTCCAGAACGGGAGCCAGAAATGCAAGCCATGTATCCTGCTGTATAGATGACACTGCAGTGGATTTGGGGTGTGGGAGCCCACCGGCGCGTCAGGTACAGCCCCCTGTAGTCCTAGTGGCACATCCTGGCTAGCCTCTGACAGCCCTCAGGTCACCATTGCTGGGTCCAGCCCCACCTGAGCCAGGTCTCTCTCTCTCTCTCCCTCTCTCTCTCACTCTCTCTCTCTCTCTCTCTCACTCTCTCTCTCTCTCTCTCTCATACACACACACACACACACACACACACACACACACACACACACCTCTTCCATTAAAAAGACTCCAGGTCATAGGGCTCAGATCAGGCTGCCAATGGAAGTGCCGCCTCCCTCTGCTTTGTGCCTTTGGGTTCCTGCAGAGCCCCGAATGGAGGCTGTGTGCTGGTTAGTTACCTAAGTACTCCAGCCCTTCCCAACCCCCTTCACTGCATCATTTTTATGGGTAAACATTTTTTAAAAACATATTTTTATTGATTTCAGAGAGGAAGGGAGAGGGAGAGAGAGATAGCAACATCAATGATGAGAATCATTGATCGGCTGCCTCCTGCACTCCCCACACTGGGGATCAAGCCCCCAACCCGGGTATCGAACCGTGACCTCCTGGTTCATAGGTCATGCTCAACCACTGAGACATACCGGCAGGCCGGGTAAACATTTATTTTTTAATGCCCGTGGCTTGTCCTTCTCACCCTTTTGTTATCCGTGGGCCTCTGAATGAACGGGCGAGTGTGACAGGGACAGGTTTTGAGTCTGTGTTAACTTGAAGAAGAAAACCATTTTGGAGAAATGCTTTTTCTTCTTGGCTCCGACATCGGTCTGGGAGCCTTTAATTCCTCAGGGAAAGAGTCCCAGGGAGGAGGGGGGGAGGGTAGAGGGGCCCATCTCCTCAGAGGTCACTGGCTGGGGGAGGGACTCAGATACCCCAGTGACAGGTTATGCCCCCACAAAGCTGGAATCTCCTTAATAGGGAGCTTCTAAGAAAAACACCCTTTGCCAGGCCAGGGGGCTCTATTGAGTTTTGCCGCCTGGGGCACATTCTGGAGGCGAAAACCGGTTTTTCTGAAGACTCAGCAGGGCCAGGCTTTGTTCAGAGCTTGCCTCCTTAGCCAGACTGGCTCCTTGAAGGAGACCCTGTTTACCTAAGGAAAGGGCAATTAAGAGAAAGCCTTGGGCATCCCCCCTCCATAACTGCGGGCTTCCTTAGGACTTGGGGGCCCCTTCCCCCCCTCCCCCCTCCAACCTCCCCACAACCTTCTCCTTCCCTAAAGGAGAGAGGTGGAGTTTTTAAAAAAAATCACACAGGCTTGTAAAGCCACGGAAATCAGTGTCAAATCCATCAAAGCAAATCACAGGCCCTGACAGCTGAGGCGTATTATTTGTGTTTTTCCTCCCAGATTTCTACCGAGCCTGGTGTGTTCAGCATGTATCGTGGGGAGACGAGACCCATATAAAGGCAATTACAATTGATAAAGGATTAATGTTGGATCTGGCATTTTTTTGTGTGTGTCAAATGTGTTCAAGCATGTTAATCTTTGCAGAATTGACACCCACTCCCTCCGAGATACATCTTGTACAGCGTCTGAAATATCTGCCACCTGCCTTCACTTAGGTCTTATTTACATTTACTTTGTTACGATGTAAGTGGGTTTAAACACATCTTACGGGAGTTTTCTACCCCATTCTGCAGGTCCTGCTGGCACCGCGGGCGGGGAGGCTGGGGCAGCGGGGCTCCTTGCTGATTGCAAGTCAGGTTTCAGCCACCTGCCTGGAAGCCCAAGGACAGAGGGGGCTGATAGACTGTTCCCCCTCAGGCCTCCCTTTTAACCCAAAGGGGAGGTGACTTCTGTCAGGGAGTCAGCATCCAACAGCATGAAGCACAGACGCAGCTTTCCAGCAGACGGACAACTTTTTAATGTTTGTAAGTTACAGAAAACACGCATTCCCCTTGCAGGCATTTAGAAGGCGGTTCCTATCTGTGGTGCTGTTCCCAATCCGCCTACACCGGTCCCCTCTGCAGAAGACACTCGCTCCAGGGTCTCCTCCTCTATCCCATCTCTCCCTGGGGTTCCGTTTTCTAAGTCAGAGCTCCCCCGCTGCCACTGTTGGGGCTGCTGCGGCTGTGGCGTCAGCTCCATGCCTCCTGAACTTCACTCCACTGAAATCTGGTTGGGTATGAAACAGACTCCGGTGGAATGAAGGACAAGAGAAACACATGGATCGTCTGGGGGTCTTGTTCTCAGAGGGTGGGCTGCACGTCATCCCCAGCCTCTGCACGCAGGGTTACTGCCTGGTCGCAGGCCTTCGGGATCTTGGAATCGCAGATGTGGGAGATGTGGGGGACCTGGATACGCTCTGCCCTCCCAGGATCACCGCCTTCCACGGGCTGCAGAGAGCGGGCTCAGCAAGCCACCCTCTGTCTGCAGCACCGGCGGACAGTGCTGAGTGCGGGCTGGGCTGTGGGGCTGGCAACTGCTGTTTCTCACCCCCGAGGCAGCCATGCAGGCATATCCAGGGGGAACTTCTCGGTCTCCCTCGTTGGGGAGCTGGCCCCCTCCCCCCTTTGTCCGTGTCCCCCTGTGTGTGATGTGACTGAGCTCGGTGTGGCAGTCAGGTGTTCTGAAGTTACTTTAGAAAAACCCATCACCTGTGGACCTGCTCACCAAGGTGAGGGGATGCAGGGACGGGGCCTCCTCTCCAGAATGCACTGTCCAGTGAGCGTGGACAGCACTCAGCAGGCCCATCTGCCAGCGGGCAATCAGGAGGAGAGGCTGAGGAGCTCGGGAGGGACCAGGACCCCGGCTGGGCTGGGGGTGCGGGCCAGAGGAGGGTGAGACTCCCGGGTCTCGCTGCTGGACGTAGACTTACCCAGGACATCTGCTTTCTGGTGGCCCCACATCCTCTCCTAAGTCTGTTTGGAAATGGCACACCCTCACCTTTTGGAGGCACAGGGTTGGGGGCTGTGGGGAGGGAGGAGATGGCCCGGCTCTCAGAGACTGAATTAACTAGGGCTTTGAGGCCTCCCCACCCTCCGAAGAGAAGTGCCCACGAACCAGTGGCTGTGCGGCTGCTGCCGGGCCTCTTCCTTGCTGTGTTCAGACATGCCCGTGGCTCAGTGCAAACCCCATAAAAGGCTGTTCTCAGCACCAACATGCACACTGGGTAGTTAGGGCAGATCCGCCCTGTTGTTTGGAATACTTTCTTCCTGGGGCTTGTCCTGACCCGATGCTGGGAGGCAGCAGCTTAGAACGTGGCTCCTCCCCTGACATCCAGCCTCCCCAGCCCCGGGCATCGGGCCTCTGAAAAAGACTCCTCAGCAAGGGCTGGGGGTCCTAGCCATGGCCGAGGAAGAGCCCCGCTGTCCGTGGGCACTGAGAGGAAGAAGGCTGGCCCATCCTCCTCCACTCGGCCTTCCTCATGAATTTACTCAGTTCAGTCATGAGAGAAACGCGGCCTGCTTGTGAATGGTCCACACCACATCGTCCTGCCATGCCTTTGGCCTATGTTAGAGACCTCCCTCCCGTTTGGCTCTGATAAAGGATGGCAGGAGAGGGTGGAAGGAAAGAGTTCTGGGATGGGAGGATTCTTTGCATTCTCTTTGGATCTTAGCCCAACTTGGAAGCTAAGGGGCCAGTGAGTCTCCCTGCAGACCCTCCTTACCCCACTCTCATCCTCCCCAATGGATAGCCCACCAGATTCTTCAAGTCCTCGGTGGGAGTGTGCGGAGCGCCTCGCCTTCACGTGGGGTCCTCGGCCTGCAGGATGGGTACTCCGGAGGCCCCGTGTCTGTAAAAGCACGTTGTGAAAGACAATGCAGACAATAGGCAGCACTGGTGTTATTTAGAGACCCCAGACAAAGCAGGCCCTTTCCTAGCGCCCTCCCCTCACCCTGCAGACCTTCAGCGGATACAGACAGAGCTGTATCAGGAGCCTTGAGCACTCTGGACCCCTCACCCAGAGTTCAAGATTCTTCTGTCTACCATGCCTTTGCCAACGTGATGCCCCAATGACCTCTCCTTAGCCACTTGCAGAGGAGGGTTTGGGCACAAGAAGCAAACCAGGCAAGTGTTTGGCTCATAGAGTAAGTTCATTCAGTGACTGCTTTCCTGCCCCCAGCTGCCCTCAGGACTTGCCTCAAATGGCTTCCTAATAAAACCAACTTGGACACGAGAAGCAAAGAAGGGAACCAGGTCCTTGATTTCCTGTTAGCACCGCACCTTCCAGCCCAGGACTGAAAAGCCCGCCCACCCCCAGCTCCTCGTGTTGTGTCAATCTCCAGGAATCAGACAGAGCTGCAGTCCTGGTGCCTAACTGCTCAGCACCCCCGTTCCTCGCCAGCTCCTATTACGGGTGAGCTTTATTGCCTGGGATCAGTGGAAATCCCCAAGACAACCCCGAGCGAGTTGGAGGTTTGGTTAGAACAGCAGGGTCAGCCACGTTCGCCTTGGAGAAGGTGGTGATTCACTTCCAGTGAATGTGGCCTTTTCCACCGTCCATCCTCCGCTCTTCCTGCCCAGTGATTCTGGGGAGGCAGCCTCTCAGTGTTATTTTCCCAAAGCCCCGCAGATCCAGAGATTTCGGACTCACCTGTAGGTATGAGTGTCTGCACCTTCAACACAGCAGGGCCTATTATGAGCTTGATTCGAAACCATCAATAGAGTTTTCAAAAGATAACTCAAGCAAAGGGGAGGCTGCAGGCTCACGCGCATGAGAGAAAGAAAAGGAATTCCAAGTCTTGGAATGTTCTTCCACTCCTAAGGTTTGAGGACAGGAAATGAGAAAGGAGAACTACTTACTGTATAAAGTGTCCAGTGCCGCAGGCCCGTGCAGAACAGAAATGGCTCCTGAGGGAAAGGTAGGGGTGGGTCCCAAAGCCATTCTCCCTTTAGTGAGAAGGCATGTGAGAGCAGAGGAAAGTGAGTTGGAGTGGAGGGGGCTAAAGGTAGCTGGAGAAAGACAGTTTGGAATATGGTTGGGGTTCCATTGAAGTTTTGGAATAGAAGTTGGTAACAGACAATGAAAGAGAGAGAAACTGGTTTTTCCAAGGCGAGGGGGAAGAAGAAGCACTCAGCCCCTTTCAAGGAGGTGGCACTAGTTTCACTCTTTATTTATGCACCTCGCAGCAAAGCTTCGGGTTACCTGCTGGGCCCAACCAATGGAGAGAGGGCCCGGGCTGCTGGCCCCGCCTCTCAGGACCCACACCCCAGGAGGCCCTGAATGGCGAGGCTGCTCTGCAAACTAATGTTACTTTCTTATTGTTCCGGGAACACCAGGAAGGGAGGAAAGGGAGGTGAGGTCTGCATCCCTGGGGAGTCTGCAGGTTATCTGAGTGCTGGCCGAGGAAGCTTTGGCCTTTGGAAGACCTGCAGGAAAGAAGGGAATGCTGAGATCTTATCCGGGCTGGAAGAAGCGGTGTGTGTGTGTGTGTGTGTGTGTACACCTGTGTGTAGGCAGCAGGAATCCATGGTCCTTTGAGCCTTCAGCCGTGACCCCGTTTGTTAGCGCTATGCCGTGCACCTCAGGAAGCTAGCCCATCCCAGGACAGCTTTAGAGAGAGGCCTCAGGGTCTCAGCAGAGGCCCACCTCCCGGTTTTTCTGATATGAAGCACAGACTGAGTTTGCTGCTCTCCCATGAGAAGCAAGGGGCTTTTGCAACCCAAGAGACTGCAACTTGCTTTCCTTCCATTCCCGGGGTGGGGAAGAGACCACTCTTTGTGAGGGGAAGTTGCTCAACTGTGCCCCCATCCCAGCCCCCTCTTCCCTGCGCCTGCTCCCCCCTCCCCACTCTCCCTCTGGCAGGAAGGTAAGGGGAATGGAAGCCTCCTCTCATGTAGTGCACTTCACCTGAATCCTTGCCTCATTTCCACGTGTTTTCAAGGCGAACCTGGGGCGCAGCAAAGGTAGATGCTCCCGTTCTCCAGGTAGGGGAGGGATGGAAGGCCTGGTGCAGAGGACATCTTGGTGCAGTCCTGTCCCACAGCCCTTCATAGATGTTGATCCTAACTGCTCTTTAGAAATCTGCTCATCCAAACCTCTTACCAAACAGGTGGGAAACTGAGGCCCTGAGAAGAGAATTTCTGTCTCATGTTCATACAGGGTCATGATTCTAGTCTACCTGGACCTCCTGACCTGCTATTAAGGGCTCTTGATAACAAACTCTCCACGTTGCCTTCCCTGGTTCCGGAGGCCTCGCACTTGTCTGGGGCATTCGGCACCTTTTCCCGGAAGAAGAAAAGGCTCCATGGAGGATGAGGGGAGGGAGATTTTCTGGGTGACAGCTTTCTTCAGTGTGGGGACTCCTCCCCAAACTGTCAGGGCACACAATTTTGCTGCCAACTAGACCCAAATTGCCTTACTGTAGCCTCAGCTCTCCCTTTTTCCAATTAGGAATGTAGAGAGAGAGAAGCAGAGTCCCTGGTAAGACGATACACATATACTTGTGAGTTAGAGACCCTGGACCCTTGTCCAGCCCTCTCTCCCTTCCTGTAATTCACTCACTCACTCACTCATTCATTCATTCAGTGATACACGCTCTCCCTCCCGCCTCATTCCACCTCACTCAACCGTGCACCAGGTGCCTGAGCTCTCTACCCTTTAGGAACTCCCAACTTAGATATTCATATACATGCACAGATATCAAAACGGGCCCATAAGAAAAACACTCCGAATACTCCACCAAAAGGCTATGTCAACTTTCGTCTCTGAGGTTCAGGGAAGGTCCCGCAGAGAAGGCGGCATTTGAGTTGGCCCTGGACAGAGGAGGGAGGCCTGGAGGTGGGTTAGGACCCGCTGGAATGGAAACCCCGAGGAAGGAGCCCTCACCTGCTTCAGAAGCTCACTGTGCTCCAAGGTGGGACTAGAGGCAGAAGGCCAGCTGCTGGAGATACGACTGCCCCCAAATGTGCGGTAAAGGGAGGGCAGCAGTGGCACCCAGGGTGGAAAACAAGCAGAGGTCCTGCTGGTCCTATGCTTCGCCCTCCAGGGGGCATCTTGACCTCCACATTTGTTTGAAAATGGAAACAAACAATAACGCAGCCAACGCTGCCAGGACAGACTCACCTGCCTGGAGTTATTGTGATTATTATTTACCTTCCCCTCAGCCTGATTCACCGAGGTCCAGGAGGATGCTCTGTGGACTGGTCCAAACATACTAGTTTGTATGGTGGGTCTGGGGGGGGGGGTGGTGGGAAGCATAGCAGGGTGGCTTTGCTGGTAGCCTCCTGTCCCCGCATCCCTCAATCTGGCTCTTTGTTCCAAAGTCACTTAAGAGGCAAAGGCTCTAGATGTCCTCCCTTCCCCCACATCTACCAGGGGCGTTTCCCAGGCTCTTTCAAGGATCGCATGCCTGTGGGAGGAGGGAGAGTGTGAGGGCAGAGAGGAGTGGAGGGGGCAGGGCAGGTGGCTGGGCTGGAGCACAGGGCTCCGTCTCCACTCAGGAGCTGGCCATGTCACGGTGTTTGCTCACTTTCTCTAATCTTGGGCTTCTTGTTTTGGTTTGATGTCCTGTATGCATATCCCTTGATCCTCATTCCTTCTCCCCCTCAACACGACCTAGCCAGGGATTCTCTACTGTGAGAAGATCTTTGGACCCCACGGGCCTCTCTGGTCTGCCATTCCCTCTGCTCTGACTTCCAAGCCCATATGTTACTGTCACATCTTTAGCTGTTGAGGAAACAGGTAAAAGATGGCAAACTCTCCCAAGTGTTCTAATACCGGATTAGCATTAGTTACCTACCAGTCCCTCCTGACTAAATTCTGGTTATAAGCTCTTCTAATCTTGCAGCTCCGCCTTCATGCCTAGCATGGGTGCCCACTGTCCTCCATCAAGGCCTGTGCAGTCAGTTCTTCCTCCTGGGGAGGGGCACAGAAAGAGAAGCTACTGAGGTGTCCAGAGCCCATTTGGAGTGGGCATCGTGACCTCTCAGGGTGAAACAGGACGGGTAGTGTGACAGGAGGAGACAGCTTGTTCCCAGAACCTGCTGGGAACGTCAGAGCACATGGCCTGGAGGTGTGGGGGAGGGTGCCCTTTGGGCTGCCAACAGACTGGAGCCTTCATCACCCCTCACTCTCAGCCTCTCGCTCTGTTCCACGGGTTGAGCTAGGAGGGCCTCTCCCTACAGGTGTATCAGTAAGGGCCCAAAGCCAGGAACATGTCTGCTAATTTTTTTCTGCCACTTCCTAGGTGGTCACTTTGGCCCAGAAAGTAAGTGTATGAACATAAGGGGGGAAGATGTGGTTTAGCAGCAGAAATAAAAAACAACAACAACTTAGGGTTTGAGCTTATAGTAAGCGTTACAAGACTCAATGTTATAATGTGGCTGTCAAAGAGCAAATTCTATCTTTGATTGTATTATTAGAAATATGAGCGAGAAAACAAGGGAGGTGATATTCCTATTCTACTCTATATTGCTCAGATTACACCTGGCTTATTATGTTCCGTTATAGGCTTCACATTTGAAGAAAGGTACAATACAAGTATGAAAGTGAGGAAAAAGTGATCAGAATGGTGGGTGGGCTTGAAAATATGTCACTCCGAGGAAGGATTAAGGATGTTTAGTCTGGAGAAGTGATGACTAGGGAGCAGCAGGAGGCATATGACAGGTGTTTTCAAGTACACACAGATGTGCCACGTAGAAGAGGGTTATATTTG